TGGTGTTTGGGATGACACTCCAACCAACTGAGCAGCAACTGGTCAGGATTGCCTTTCTGAGTTTTCTAATATTCACGCAATGTGGGCAAGAGGGCTCTTGCCTCCAGCACTCTGATATGGGCACAGCTGTCCTGAGTGCCTCTCACAGGCATGGGAGCTGCTTGCATAGCACCTGCAGTCCAGAGACATCTGTAGTGCAATGTGCTGAAAATGGGGTGTGGAGAGGTGCAGATCTAGCCATTGCCAAAAAACAACCACAACAAGGTTAAACTCAGCTGCCAAGGCTTGGCCAAGAAGCTGCCCATCTATGGGGCTCAGCCTGCTGATTTTAGGGTCTTACCGAGCTAAAGGCCCCACTCCCGAGGTCCTCTTCCCTCGTAGCAGCTAGTCTTGTCACTGCCTTCCTGGGTTTTGCAAACTGCGGGACAAACCTCCTGTCTGAGTTCTGTGAACCAGATACAACAAGAACAAAGCAGCAATAAATATAAGGGAGGAATGAAGTCTAAGAAAACAAACAAATGCCAAAACCGGTTTCCTTCTTGTCTCAAACCTGGCCTGTGCCCTCTATCCCCAGGGCAAACAGCCCATTGGCCACGAGGATGAACAGAGGCAGGAGCTCCAGCCTAAGGGAGGCGGCTTCTTTCTGCTCACAGGGGAAGCTACAAAACAGGCTCACCTGGGAAGGAGGAAAGGGGATTGGCTCCTTTTCTGGTTGCGAGAGGCTCCTGGAAGGAGCTCCAGCTTCCTTGTCCGGAGAGCTGGGTGGAGAAAGACAAAACAAGAGGTTCTGAAATCACCCAAGGCTTTCAGTGCACCTAGTGGGACAGAGAATGAAGTCCAAGGGCAAAGCAGTGCTCAGTCTCCCAGAAGGGAGGTCCTGGAGCACCTTCTTGCTGAGAGAGGGTGGGATGAAGGGGAGCAGTGAGCTGGGGAACATTTGACTCCAAGAAGGGTGCTGAGTCCACATCTAGAATCGAAACTGCCTGCTGTGGCAGCACTTCACCCTTATAATCCCAGGAATCGGCTCCTCAGGTAAGACCAGGAATTCTCATTTGCACTGACACTCCTGCCTCCAACTCAGCAAATTCTAAGGGAATTTGTAGATATGAGAAACACAGTGCCAAAAGAAACAGGAGTATTCATAATTGCCAAAACGTGATGGC